CTCTCTGTGAATATTGAGTTTATTGGCGCACGATTAGTCAATATATTAGCAAATATATGCGTGCCGTAATCTCCCGTACCGGCTTGAATATAAACACCCTCATTCGCGCCAGATGGGCATGCAAACATGGCTGCTCAGGTGTGGATAAGAGTTCTTGCTCAAACGCGACACACGGGAGGGGAAAACCCTGAATGGTCTGGTCAGTGTGGCACGTCCCTGTACAGGTTGGATGCTGGCATTCCAGCCCCCATGCCAGTGCTAAAAATAAATACAAACAAAATAAAAATGAACATAGCAAAATAACAATACCCCACCGCCTCTCTGCTTCTTATATTGAAGGGTAAATAATATGAATAAAGAAAAAAATGAGAAAATATGATGAATGAGTTATGATGAGGAAAGACAATCGCACAACGAGTCAGTAAACAATGTTTGGTTACGTTGCGAGAAGCAGTGGCGCCGCCTAGAAACGCTATCCACGAGTGGCGTAGTTGTTATTTGTCGCCGTGCATACGCTCCTCTCTGGATGCCATAGCAACCGTGTATACAACGCGGACCAGTAACGTTACTGCTTGTCGTTGCCGTAGGTACATACACGGAGGCTGATCGATCGCTCGCTGCCATAGCAACCGCGTATAGAACATGGACCCGTAACGTAATTATCTGTCATTGCCGTAGATACATACACGGAGGCTGAGCGATCGCTTGCGGCCATAGCAACCATGTATACAACGCGGACCAGTAACATTACTGCTTGTCGTTGCCGTAGATACGTACACGGAGGCTGATCGATCACTTGCGGCCATAGCAACCATGTGTAAAACACGACCCGTAAGGTAATTATCTGTCGTTGCCGTAGATACATACACGGATGCTGAGCGATCGCTGGCGGCGTTGACGACGATGGAGAGGACGGCGTGGGCGGAGACGAGAAAGAAGTATTTCCGCAGCGGTGTCAACCGCGAGGCGATGGACATCGTAGAGAAGGCCGTCAACTTTGTAAGTGATACGCGATGACGCTCTGGTTGCGGGCGGTGACGCTCTGGTGACGGGCGGTGACGGGCGGTGATGGGCGGTTACGCCCCGGTGACGGGCGGTAATACCCCCGGTGATGCTCCCGGTGACGGGCGGTGACGCTCTGGTGACGGGCGGTGACGCTCCGGTGACGGGCGGTGACGCTCCGGTGACGGGCGGTGACGCTCCGGTGATGGGCGGTTACGCCCCGGTGACGGGCGGTAATACCCCCGGTGATGCTCCCGGTGACGGGCGGTGACGCTCCGGTGACGGGCGGTGACGCCCCGGTAATGCACGGTTACATGCTGTGACATACGGTGACACCACGGCATCGCAGGGCAGCTGTTTATCACTGTGTTAACTGCCTGAAGGTGTGTTTAACTCATTACCAGGTGTGTTTATCACTTTTGGTACCTGCCCGCAGGTCAGTGTGTTACCCAGAGACCTGTCTAGCCGTCTTGGACAGCCTATTCTTGGATGAGACGGATGAAATTTGATAGAGACAGCATGAGGGCGGCCCAATTTTACCCCTGCATGAAAATAAAATTATCGGTTTTTCCTCATGGCTCATGTATAACTGACAATAGTGCTTATAAGAATATAAAATCATATCAGATTCCTGTCTTTTTGGCATTTCAGAC